TATATATAATTCGGCGCCAGTCATATATGGAGGTTCTTTCAGTACTACTTCAATGCTATAACTATTTCTCAGTTTTTTTGTTGCCTCTACTATGAAACAAAATTGAAAATTGGGAGCGAAGTTTATGAAGGTGTTAAATTTTGAAAACAAATTATTTTATGCTTCAGCCTTTTCTATGTTTCAGTTACTCAAGAGTAATTCCTTTTCATAGATCATTCAACAAGTCTTGCATATAATTGTTAACTCAAAAAATGAATCCTGCAAAACTGGGTCTGAATAGAGGAGCTGCTTCTGACCCAAGAGAACTAGGGAAATGTGGTGACTAACAAAAAGCAATATTAAACAATTGGTATGATGCGTGGTATCAGACAGATGTAAATACAGATTTGAATGTAAGGAGGTGTAGTTAGCGTTTCATTTGCAAAAATTTGAGAGCTGTAGTGAAATTTGTCATAGTGGTTATATCAGTTTTCATTTCTAATTAGCGAATAGCAGGTGATGGTATTTAGATTACTTAGAAGGTGCTATTTTGATCTATCATTAATTTAGCTCTTCCAACTGTATTGATTTAATTGCTCAATCGCTCAGTATTGTCTCATTCCTTGCAGTGATTTTTATTTAGAAAGTACGTGATGAAACTTCTGGTTATTTGAATGCGTGCAACATGCTCGTTAAAATCGAAAACGCTCAGAATATTAAATCCTAACCGGTCAAATAATTAATTAGTTGGTTAATTAGTTAGTTAACCAAGTAACTAATTACTTTGTTTGATTGGTCAGTTATTCAATCAGTTGGTAACTTGGTAACAAAGAGTGGGAGCGAATTAATTTACTAGTCCGCTAATTAATTGAATATTCGATATATCTAACGAAACATGTAGCTAATATGATGTCATTGATATTAAGGTTTCGTCGTCATTTTGTGGACTTTCATGATTCCTGTCATCAAATGACTGAATCTCATCATATCTTTTGCAATACAATACAATCAGTTGTCAATCTATACTTTTCAGACTCAGGTTTCTTCATCAGAATACGATATACTGCAAAATCATTTTTTCTTTCATCCATTGCAAATAAATGTAATTAAATTCGTAATTCGTAATTGCAATATTGGCTTTTGTTCGACGAATGCATGGACAATGATGACCGTTGCCAATGTTGACTTTTGAGTTAAAAAGTGACCGATAGTGATTTATCAATATTTTCTCCAGATAAAATCCATTTTCATTTGCAGTTTATGTATTTTTGCGCGTTATCACCATATTTCATGCTGGCTATACTGCTTGTACGAGGTTTGACTTTGCCAGGGGCTTTACGGGGTATTTACTTTTATTTAACGCCAAATCCAAGCAAACTTTGGGATATTACTTTATGGAAAGATGCTGGAACTCAGGTACTCTTTGTGCTCACAGTTAATTTAAGCAAATGATCCATGTTTAATGTGATTACAGAAATATGAATGTACTTTTTAAATTTGTAGAAAGTTACTAGATTATGTAGATTACATGTAGATTTCTCATTTAACTGCTTACAGTCACATCACGTTTTTCTATAGTGTCGTGAATCTTTTATTAACTTCAATTTGATCAAAATGTATTTCGATTTTTTTAAAAAAATTAATTGCTTCATAGACTTTATAGAGAATATACTAAAAAATTTTTAATGCTTCATCTTTAGGTGTTTTACTCATATGGTGTGGGGTTTGGTACATTAATCGCATTTGGATCTTATAATAAAAAATCTCATAACTGTTTCAGGTAAATATTTTTCCATTTAATGTTTGCAAGTCTTTAAACTTTCAACAGCAAATGATTTAAGCATTTTCAGTGTATGTCAAAATGATTTTTAGCACTAAGGTACATTAGTGTTGTTTTGTAACTTTGTCATTCCTGATGCATATAATGCAGCATAAAGAATAGATAGTGTTAGTAATGATATTAATTCTCTTAAACCATTTTTCAGAGATGGTTTTATTATGTGCTTCATCAATGGATCGACTAGTTTGATTGCAGGTGATTTGAAAACGACCTTGGATTTTTTTTTTCAAATTTTCGCTTAGTTAATAATAAGTTTTGAATACTTCAAACGATAAATATATAAAAGATAAGTTTACTCAATGTGAATGACCTACTAGTTCTTCTGGTATGTAAAAAATAAAAGTTCTCTTTATTATTTTTTGTTTTCTATACTCATAATAACATGCATACGAAGATAAAAGCCCATTAACTAGTTGATATTCAAAACTTCACCGATTTCGGTCTGAATTTTCTTTTTACTGATATTTAAAATAGCCAATTAACCATTGTTAACATTATAAAATAGCACAGATTAATAAATTATCGTAAACCTAGAGTAGACTTTAATGATTTATATTAACTTTCTGCATTTTTTATCTCTTATTTCTGATTTTGTTACCATTTATCCGATGATGTTATGTACCTTTTTTAAGAATTCTGTTCTCTCCTTTCATAATGATAATATGGTATCATTATCAATGAAAGACACGAAAAAATACTCCATATTAGAGTACTTTTTTTAAGGTTTCGTTGTTTTTTCAATTCTTGGTTACATGTCGGTTCTTGTTAATACGAGTATCGCTGAAATTGTGAAACCAGGTAAAAACATGTCCTTTATGAACATTAAAATTAGCGATTTACTTAATCGAAAGTTCTTCAGAAAAGCGGAATTTTGTTTTATAGTGACATTTTTTGATGACGTTCAGAAAATAATTACTTGTTTGCGTCATTTTAATGATTGAGTTCTTTTGTTGTGATTTTATAAATACAATTTTTTCCATTTAAATTTATTCTACCATGTACTAGACTGAAGTATATCATTTTAGGACCAGGGCTAGCATTTTTGGCTTATCCGGAAGTGGCCAGCAATCTACCATTCAAGCAACTTTGGTCTGTGCTTTTTTTTTTAATGATTACTATTCTTGGACTCGATAGCCAGGTTGGTTGTTCATCCATAAATCTGGAAAGTTAATGATATTCTAAAATTTGCAATCCTTACTTCATAGTAACTTTAGATAGTAATCCAGGAAATCAGTGACAAATTTTAACTTGGAGAATAACAGTGATTTTATAGGTTTGTATGTTAGAAGGTTTGTATGCAGCTCTTGAAGATGTATTCCCCCATTTTTTGAGAAAATATAAGAAAACAGCACTTGCTTTTATTTGTGCTATCTTCTTCCTTCTTGGCATACCTATGGTTAGTTACGTAAGTTTTATACTCTATGCTCTAAATACGTTTTAATGGATTTTCAGCGTTAGAGAAATCAATGAACATCTTCTAGAAAAAATGATCAGAGATGTCAACTAAATATTGCTGCAGTTTACAATTCCTCAATTAATAGTAATATTTTTAAGATGTTTATGTCTCACTAATGTTGGATTTCACTTTAGTACTTTGATATCGCTACGAGATTTTGTAAATTTTTGTGCTTCAAAAAATTTATTAAGATGAAGAGCATAACTGTTTAAGGCTGGCTCATACTGGTTGACTTTGTTTGATTCATACGGAGCCAGCGGTATTGCATTATTGTTTGTAGTATTTTTTGAAGTTGTTGGACTTTCATGGGGTTTTGGTAAGCTTGATCTAATTTATTTGTAGAGAAATGATTAGTATATAGCATAAGAGCCAAATTTTATTATAAACATTATAAAAATATCCTTATATCTACGGATTATCCATAAAAATTGGCATGAATAATTTTTTGGTATAAAATTTGGCAAGAAAAATTTTGAGATCAGTTGTTGATAAAAATTTGTAAAAAAGCTTTTCATGGCGTTTTTCAATTCGATTAAAAACTACTACTGAAAATTTTTATCTGTAATCAGGAGCCCATAAAGTACGAGTTGCCTTAAAAGAAATGGTTGACATTGAACTTTGGAAATGGTGGATTATTGTTTGGAAATTTATTACTCCATTTGTAGTGGCCGTAAGTTATTTTTATTAATATACAAATTTCGCCAAAATTACTGAAATTTTTGAGTACATTAATTCCAAGACAAAGTAATCAGATAATTAAAAATAATGGATCTCATTCGTACCATCTTTGAGATTAAAATCTGCTTTAATTTTGTTATTTGGTCTCATATTTTAATGTTTATTGCTACCGAATATACTCATACTAAGGTCTTATTCTTATTTTGTATCTACAATTATCAACCATTAAAATATCCTACTGGTGAAAATTTTCCAATCTGGGCTGAAATATTTGGATTTTTCTTGTCGTCTTTGTCAATGGTCGTTATACCTGGTTATCCAATTTATAATCTTTATGCAGGCAAATCTGTTGGTTCTGTCAAAGAGGTTTTTATTTATACCAAATTTTTCAAGTATTGTTTGAAAATCTAAGAACACTCTTTGCAGCTATATTTTGAATAACACTCGAATTAATCTCAGTGCATATGACTTTTTGGTTAAGCTTTCAAATTTGGTAAGGAATTCATATAATTTTGTGTTGAGACGTGATATTAAAAAATGAAATTAACTCAAAGTGAATTGAGAAGTACCACTTTCAGCTATCGAACTGATTAACTTCAAAGACTAAAAAAAATTAACTAGTCAATATACGGTGTCGATAGTTTTCGAAAATAATTTGTAAAAAAAGTGAATATCAATTGAAATTAGTAAGAAATGTAACTCGTAAAATTGTCGGATTCGAGTAGATTTGATGAAAAATTGGTTTTCTCACTGTAAAATTCATGAAGCAAATTTGATAAATGTACAAATTACATAATTCAATAAAATCCGATCTAGTCAATAGAATTTTCAAAATACATGTTACAAAAAAATTAACTGTAATTCATAATTTCTAGAAGCTAGACAAAATTAAGCATTAAAGATCATAAAGTGCACTTCATGGAATTGAACCTCAGAATTTGGATGTAGCACATAAATTATTTTAAATAAAATTATTTAGAGACGCCAAAAAAGGTTGACTATTTCAAATGCAGTAATAATAGAAATATTTCTGAACCGACACTATTTTTCGAATCATTATGACCATATATAATTTTCGTATTCGAGTACAAGTAACTTACGTGTAAAATTAGATTGCATTAGTTTGGTGATGAATGGTATAAATCCTTATTATTTGAATGTATGTAGTGATTCTATGTTCTTTTGATGTCAATTCTCATAATTCAAAGTCTTATATATACATTTTAAAACACAAAAGATTTGATCATTTTCAGCGTTTACGACTGCACTTACATCCACCATCAGTATTTGAAATAGCATTGCCATCATCGCTTCCTTTTGACAAAAACGATGCGAATATGGAATTCATCGATTTTGAATGCGCGCTTAACAAGAAATAAGATGTAAGATGGAATATATAAATCCGATACATATGTTTGCTTTCAACAATGAAAATATTGCTTTTAATCGAAAAATTTACCACAATTTGGAGTGTGGTAGACTGAATGGAATGTGACGGCACCATATCCTGTGGAGGACTCGAAAAATTTTTGATTTTAAGACTCATCTACTGTAATAATTCCTGTTTCATTTTTCCTCATTCTTGCTCAAGTTTTTTAAAAATCTACTTTTTTCACAATTCTGTAATGCCTACTTTTTTGTCTTGGAATGTAAGACCTCTGCTTTCGTTTTAATGCTTGAGGACTAACAGTCATGTAAATTATTATTGTTAACAGAGAATAAAACTAAACTGTTCACAGTAAGTACCATATTCATCATATATTTCGTAGACTGAAGTTAGAAAATCTAAAAAAAGTAGTCCCTATGTTTTCGATGAAGAGTGTTTGCGATTCCTTTAAGTAGAAATGATAACATAAAGTGATTCTGGTCATCATCTAGCATTGCTTATTTGTGCTGACTCAATGCAGGAAATCTGCAAATGTCCCTGCCTTCATCCATTAGCAGAGGTAGTGTAGCTAGCTAGATCATTTAACTTATGATACATGCTTCTGCTAATATGATGCATGCTTCTCGCTAGTAATGGGAACGTATATATACTACACTTTGCACTCTTTAAAACAGTCCCTTTCGAAACCAATTCAAATCTAAAATTACACACACTTCGCTCGCTATCTGTATATAATAGTAATTCTTTATGTAAATTTCATCTGAAAGGAATAATATCGCATACTAAGCTGTACCACTAATATGGATCTGCAATTGCTGCTTTAGTGATTAGCAGGAACCAGGTCGACATTACCATGCAATGTAGTAGCTATGAAAATATAACTCTTTTACGCTTACTTCAAATAAAATTAATATATCCTTTCTCAGAATTTACCCTACGATCTATGTTTAAGAACCATAATTTAATCCCTTCGTCAACCATTCACAACCACATATGAGATATGAATGTGTGCACGCAAAACTCCGGCTCAAACAAGGCAATCATCAATTTCAGTGTATAATTTCCAAGCTTGAAGTGGAATACTTTCAAAAACCTATTTCTCTAGAAAACAAAATCCTTTAATGCACATGACGAACAGAAACGCCCTTATGTGAAAATATGAATGCTACTGCATTTCCAACGACAACATCTGCAAAACAATGTGTATTACTCTGAGACTCATAGCACTCCGTTTAATCACTTGACCTTCTTTATGAACGCAATTACCGACAAAATTTCCGAGTTATAGCAATAAAAATTATTGAATGTTGTACATTTGTGAAAGTGTGTCGAATTAGTTTAATTTTTCCTAATCTGTACAATATTCTATATCTTTTACATAGTTTTATTCTACACAAGTTTCAAAGTCATACTCAATGTAGATTATGATTTAGGACAGGCCTAAGAAAATTTGAATATTATGAAACTAATGCAAGTCTGATATCTGCAGGAGCCTAAAGCATTTCGGGCATGAAAATATGGTATTTGCAGACAAATCTCATCTAATAAACACTAACAGTTAATTATGGCCTCACATTTTATTCTAAAAAATTGGAATAAATGAGTACATGTAAAAAGTCCTTGCTATGCAGAAAAGCACACTAATTTATTCATAAGAATTTTACAGTGTTTTGAAAGCATAAAAAAGTTAGTTCTAGTTAAAAACATTAGAAAGTGATTCTTGATGTTAACGAATTTAAAGAGTCAAGCAACGGTATTATTGATCGAAAAAAATAATACTTCCTTTTTTCCATGTTTTTGCTTAAATTGATGCGGTTCAATATGTTTCAGAATAGCAGCTAACTGTTGCACTATTTCAGATTTTTCCATGTCACCACACTTTGATTTAATTCTTGAAAGCAGTTCTTTGGTAGTATGCGGTTTTCTGGAAATATAAACGACTAAAAGAGCAAGTTGATAGACTGAAAATTAAGTTGACGAAATGATAACCACTCACACCTTAGTCCAAATTATAAAAATTGAATTTAGTGAACCAAATAAAAGCAATTAACAAAAAGACAAAGAAAGGATACAATTTTCCATCAGATTTTTAACCCCACTTCTAAAAAAAGCAAAATTATCACACTAATTCAGGAAATAATCAGACAAAGAAAAGAGTGAAAAAGCTACCTACGAAGATACCGCCTTACAGTTTCTTCATTTAAGCCATCTTGATTTCCAACAGCCTGCGTAACTGATGAAGACGATGATGATGGCACTGCGTTTCTATGAAAGTCAAGCTGGTATGCTTTTGTATACAACAAAATCACTAGCCAACACAACAATGATGGTAAAATGCTCTCATTTTATGATGTTGAATCCATATTCAAACACTGTCCAAAAAATATAACAGAATGTAAAGTGATGATACATTTTAAAATGAGTTCAACTAAAATCACAGACTTCATAAAACGAGTACAGTGTAGTGAATTTATAGAAGCAATAATGAAAAAAAGTTTGGAGCTTTTAGTAAGGCACAAATTACTACAAGTAATAATGAAATGAAGAACGATGATATCAACTAAATGAAAAAATAGTTTGGAGCTTATAGAAAGGCACAAACTAAATTTTCACTAATTTAAAAATGATGAAACTCACAAGTTTTCGGTTTTAACTTTTTTTGGTTCAACATCTATCGAAGCTCCTTCTTCTAATGGTCGCTTCCTTGATGATAACTGCATATCTTCCGCATTTTTTTTCTATGAAACAATGACTTTGTCAACTATTTAGCAATCGGAGTAAAAAAAGAATTAAAACTCTTTTTTCAGCCACTGTAGTATCAAAACACTAAATTTGAGATTTTTGTTGTGAAAAAATAAGATACCACTGGCAAAAAAATTGCAGAATTAATTTCTTTATCAGGATCGTCAGAATCGCTGCCTGATGAATCTGTAAAGTTTCCTGATGACAATGCATAGTCAAAAAAATTAATTAGCATTTCGATTTAAAAAGTACAGATCCGACGTGAATTTGATGACCAATGCTTTACATCTTCCTTTATATTTTGCTCAATAAAAAATAAATATTACAGTTCTAATACACGAAAATATAATCTATACTGAACTGAAAGAAACTTAGTAGACATTCTAAACCATACTAACCTCTTTCTTATTGAAATCTAAAATGATATTGAAATTATGATCAATATAAAAGCTAATCAATGGAAAAATTCTGATAAACCAAAATTTTTACAACAAAATAATAACCCACCTCTATCATCGACATCATTAAACTGCTTCTTACTGTCACTATCATCATTTTCATCCGTTACAGTGAGAAGTTTTTTGGCTAAAAGTAAAAGTATATCAGGTTCACAATGTTGATCTTCTACCAATACACTTACTGAGTTGCAAATTTTTTAAAAATTCCAACTGTCTGAAATTTTAAAATAATGACATAAATTTGAAGCACATATACTTATGTATTCGGATTCGCTGCTATCGCTATTGAAGTCGTCACTAATTAATTTTTTTAGGCCTGTTTCATCGCCAACAGCAACCATAGCTTCGTCTACTCTTTGCTCTATTGGGATCACATCTCTACTACAAATAAAAGAATAGATAAGCAAAAATCTGGCAAATAATCTAAGTTGTTGATTAAATGCAATCTAATTACTGAAAACTGCGTAAAATGCTGTTTAATAATTATTTTTCCCCTGTTTTCGAAATACAGGCACTGGCATAACGCACAATAAAGTTTCTTTAAAAAGTCGACATCTTCAAATTTACAGTATTGAACATACTGAAATGAAACTTACAATTTATAAAAATTAGAAATGGAAACATAAAACATTGTAACTTTTATGTCAAAAAATACGTCAGAAATTATTAAGGCTCACTCGCTTTCAGAACCACTATCACTCATATAATCATATTCTCGACCTTCGTCATCACCATCATCGCTTTCGTATGCAGCTACTTCATCTGCATTTTCTACTCGTTGCCTTCTATCTTTACGAGCTCGATTTCCAAGTTTTGTATTCTAAAAAATTGAAAAATACTCATATAATTTCAAACAAACATTTTATACGAAAATGTATTCTACCTTCTTTAATTTCAAGCTGACATCAGGTGCATCATCTTCATCATCACCTTTTTCGCCATCGGAATTTTCACCAGAACTAGCTTCATCTCTGATCTTCTGAAAACATCCAATAAAAACTTTATTTTTCAATTCTTTGAGCAAAAAATTGATTAAGCAATTCTTAAAGTAACAAAAATACGACAGTCTGGAAGTTGGAACTTACAAGCGACCGTGTTGTTCTGATCATTTGTTCACCGTCATCATCCATAGCTTTTAACTGCTGCTGTATCTGAGCTTTTAAAGCAAACTGATTCATAACCCGGTTTCGTCTAAATTATTGAAAAGTAATATATTTTTGCAATTAAATCCATTAAAAAAATACTGAAGCAGCACACAGCAGATTAAAAATATGTAAACAAATGTATGTGTTACTTTTGGATCTTATTACATGTCCCTCGCAATTAGTATTTCAGTCAATGGTTTCTTAATATTATAAAAAGATGTTTCTTTGGTGAGTGATATCCTCAGTGTCAACAGTGTGGTCAATGTTTACAGACAGCTTCGAAAATAATTTGAAAGTCTTTTATAATTTAATCGCATAAGTAGACTTCGTTCCATATCTCTAACTAATATTACTAAGAAAAACCACATTTTCATTTTCAGTCTTGAAATAGAATGATTTCATGGTTTCGAAAATGTTACTCGAGTCTATAAGCGAAATACAAAAGCGCATACTCGCGAAATCTTTCTTCTGCTTGATCAATGTCAAGAGTCCGATGAGTTAAGAATGGCAAAAACTGGTGCCATTCATCAACTTTGAACGCATGAAGTTCTTCACCTGATTTCAAAAATACCCAATAATCTGCGTGTTCTCCAGCACCACCCTCTCGGATACTACGAAATTTGCGTTCTTTACCACCTGCATTATTAAGTTACCCTGTCTCTTATAAAAGAAATTAATATTGTGAAGTTTAATGCTAAGTGGAAACGATGCATAAAACACATCAGTAAATTATGTGACGCAAAAAACAAGCAGACACTTCATAAATTTATACTTGAATCCCCTATGCTAAGCACCCATGGTTGATTATCCAGCTGATAAGTGCGCGTTTGACGCCCATATTTCTTGCGTTTTGCTTCTTCTCTCAATGCCTTACCAAATTCCGAGCCTTCCCCAAAATCCTTTAGTGGTGAAATACAGAGAATAAACTCAAACAATTCAGCTATCAAAAAACATTATGAAATGCATTGGATTTTTCTGTAAAACTACATGACGTCTATTAGATTGCTTTTCAGGAACATATTTTAAAAAAATTATATTTCCTAATGCAGAAACAAACACTACCCCTCTACAATGTTCTGAAAACAGCTGCGTAATTTCGCAAAACTAACCTGTCGAATTTCACTTGCAGTTGCCTGACTTTTGTTATCTTCACGCACCATTTGCAAACTGTAACCTGCTGTTGCCCATTTCCCAGGATCAACTTTCAAAGTGTCATTGAATTTTAAGATGGAATAGCGTTTCAACGCACTACGCCTACAACTTCGGACAATTCCAAACTAGAACTCTCACTAGAAACTATCACGTCATAATAAATAAGGACTATTTTTCTATCAAAAATTTTAAGCATGACTTTCATATGAATTTCGAAACTTACTTCGGAATCCGCACAACGTAATCAGCCACTTTCGGAACTGACGCCATGTAAGAATAAAGCAGAGTACAACACCTCTAAATGCAGGTAAAGCTTGTAGAGATTACTAGCTTCACTCGAAACTTTATATACCTGAACCTTATTTATATTAGTGTCTTGCTCTCCATCCTCTTGTTTCAAGTTAAAAAACAACCCTGACAGAACAACTCAACAAAAAAGATGTCGGGAACAGAATACTGCTAAAACTAAATACTGCTTTGTACTTTAAAACTTGATTTCATCAAATTAGAAAAAAAAATTACCATGTTTAATGTGGAAATAAATGGAAGATTTTGCATTACTGAAAAACTGTTATCAAAATATCATGTAAAATTCCTTTTTCAAGAAAATACTCTACACTATTAAATGGATATTTGCCACAATAATTTGATAGATTTTATCAACCCAATAAATTCAACGCAAAGCAACAAAATTGGATATTTTTGGAATCATACAAACGCTACAAAGCTTCATATGATACACAAAATTTTGTTGATACATAAATGTACTCGGGTTTCTCTACATTCAAAATATAAAATCGGTTTCAGAGATGCCGTCTTTTCTTCGAATCCATCATATTTCGTTTGAAAACTTTTAACTTTATAACTTTTGCTATTTCTTCTGATGAACGATTTTGCCCTGAAATAGGTGAATGTAAAGAGAAAGAAGGATCAGAACAAAGTAATGAAGTTATGCACTGAATATCTCTGATAAACCAGAAATAATCTAATACTCGAAAAGTAATGGCAAAGTGCTGAAGTTAATTTATAGAAAAGAATTTTCCCCCAGTACTTCACCATCATCATGATATAAAGATGCTTGTGAAGCATTCTGAACAAATTATCAAATGTCTTCGCGAGTTTTACAGAATCACATTTCGTTGAAAGTTAAAAATTGACCGTAATAATCATGAAATTCGCCATCAGGATCTACTAAATACATAATAACCGTATGATCTACAATGTAATCATTTTGATCCGTTCTAGGTCCTTGACTGTAATATACTCGAAATGCCTTCGCTACTTTAGCGACCTAAATACAAGTATATTTTAAGCGCATCAACTAAGCATGAATAATTTTTTTGATGTGAACTGAAAATGTAATCTATGGAAAACAGTACCTGATCTTTGGAACCAGTGTAGCCTTTTATTTTGGGAGAGAACTCTGCACAATACTCTTTAACTCTTTCTACAGTATCTCGGTCCGGATCAACTGATATAAACACAGGAACCAAATTGATTTTTTCATCACTTTTTTTAACAGTTTCCACAACCTAAAATTTATTAAGACCGGCAACTCATGAAAAATTCAAGTTTGTATGTTTAAAAGCGCAATTTACAATAAAAACAGACGCTACTGCACAAGAAGTCACAAAACTATGTGTGAAGTACAGATTTCTGATAGTTAACCTCAACCATCTTTTCAATAGAATCAGGGCACACATCAGGGCAGTTTGTGAAACCAAAATATAACAGAAGCCAATTTCCTTTTAGCTGTTCAGAGCCTCCCAAGTTGCCATCCATGTCGATTAACTCCCATGGACCTCCTATTCGAGCCTTACCAAGAGTTCGTTTTCTTTCATTTTCTAATTCTCTCATTTTCTTAAATGCAAATCAAATTCAAAAATACATAACTTATAATTTAAAACATTCAAGCACACCTCTCAAAATTCAGCTTTTAATGAGGAAAACCGTACATCTAAGAAAATCTGTCCACTTACCTCTTCACGCATGCCAGATAAAATTACAACTAAAATCACACTAACAGAAACAATGATCACAATCAATTTCCCTGTGAAAAATCCTCGTATTCTTCGTTTCTGAAAAAATAACCTGAAATATTTGTTTGATTGCTTTTTGGTTTTTGACTGCATTAATGAAGCTTCTTTTGGTATGAGTTAAAAAAATATTAATAATGAATTACCTCTCTCTTTAATCTTCGTATGTCTTTCTTCTCATCCCCTGCATAACTAGTTTTTTGGAGTGCTTCTTCTAATTCATTCCAATCAACATTTAAATTACCTTCATTACCTGCTTCCTTCACTGAATTTATAGGATCACAGGATTTCAAAGATGACCAATGAATATTTTTTGCTGAGAGTAACTTTAAATAGTCACGTAGCTACACTTTCACTAGATAATAAATGAACTGAAATGGTCTGTTCAGAACTAATATTTCTAATTAATGACAAATTTTTTGCATCACCTTCGTTAACTTTAGAGGCACTAAAGCAGACTATATCATGTTTTTGAAAGCGAGTCGTTCTATTACGACAATGAAGCGTAGGTAACAACCATCGTAGTACACTACAATTTCCTCGAAGCATCTGCAACTATATTTCTCATTATAGCACATTAAAAATATATCATCCTTAAGCAACCTTTACAGCAATAATTAGACCTAAATACAGAGGTTTTTGAAGTCTCACTTAACCAATTTATTAAACCATAAAATTCTACGATGCAAAAACGACTGAATCTCAATACAGATTACCGGATAGAGATATATAGGGGAAAAAATACTGACATATCAACAAATTATAATATAAAGCACTATTGTAATCAACAAAATGAGTAGTAAAAAATAAGTGATCAATCGATTGATAAGAATCAAAAAATTAAGTCGCATAACTTGTTGTCACAAAAGTAAGCAAAGTATTAGAGTAATATAAGAATTTCTCTCAAACAGTAAAAGGTTAAATGCAGTCAGAGCCGGAAAAAAGACTAATTCTAGAAAGTACGACAGTTGAACAAAGAAGAGAAGTCCGACCTTTAATACTGGTATGGTTACGACTAATACAGCAGTAAGTCCTCAAAGAAACAGCGTGCAGACAGAAAATTTAGCTATCAGCTGCTGATGTAAACAAATAAGAACTATCAAAAATGAAAAAGTGTGCAACTATAAACCCTAAAAAGGAACTAAAAGCATGAAAAAAAGGAGTGCTAACTCTAGCATAAAACACATATATACAAGAAAACTGACATGGCAGAAAAAGAGTACACTGAGTACACTGTATTAGCCAAGTGCTGATCGCCTTAATTCCTCACTTCTCTATCTGCTGTTGGGGCATGAGTCAATGTGCACCATACACGCTATGCTTGAACCCCTCCTTCTTCCATCCTCCACTCCAAACCAAATAACAAAATCCTACTCGAACCAACACCCATTATCACTTTACAACAAAATAATTATAACGCCTTGCATCGCAGTTGCAATTACCCTATCAAATTGTCGCAAAAAAGAGACACCATGAAATGCTTCTGTCTCTCCACATTTTTCAATTGATCAGTCATCTTCCTCCTAAATCCTGGTGCAATTGTTACGGACTGATCAACTGTGGCCACAACTACCACACTACTACTACTAATACTATCACTACTATTACTGTCACTACTTGCACAATTACCAGTGATGTTGGTGTTTTCCTTATGTTAGCTGTTCAATGCAGTTATCAGTTAGCTAAACAAGCATAAACCTCTTACATCTGTGGTCCAGGCAAGTTTACTACCTTTGACGTTAAAAATATGAGATTTTGTTCCGTTTTATCAGAATACTAATGGTTACAACACTAATAATAATAGTAATAGTAATAATAATAATAATTAGTAATAATAGTAATCGTGCCATTATATTGGTTTTATGAGCTTATATTATTCTCTTTTACTTTATTTTATTAATGAAAAATATTAAATTTCAGTACTTTCCATATTCAGCTACATTTTTCGCGTAGGAAATTGGATTACTGAAGGTGATTGATGCGTAATTCACTTATATTGTATGTAGCGAGTTGGTTTTACCCACTTATCATTACATCCAGAGTAGTCACTGCTCAAGCTAACGAACCATGGGATTTAAATGCTCCTTGTCGTCCATATATTGAGGTTGTTTTTCACTGCACATTTGGAGTTTCGAGGTTTCACTTAACTTAACGTTCATTTGAAAATAATAATTATGATGTTCTTCACCAAAAGCTATTTTTTACATTTTCCATTGTCACTTTTAGTTATTCAATTAATTCATGGATTTCATTGTAGGAATTTTCCAAAAGCGGTTCACGGATGATTGCTTGTGCTATTATGTATTCTTCACCACCAAAAGTTTGCACGTATTGCACTGAAGAATATGTTGCGTTGAAACACTTAGAATATAATTTGCTGAAATTGGTTAATGTCTTTTTGTGTAGATGAAACACTAAACTGTTTTATTTATACATGAAATTACGTTCGCATTTTCTAGTATTGCTGAAGTAGTTTTCAACTATAAGCATTTAGATTATAATAATGGATACGATTATTTCCTTCCTATCTCTTTTATTTGCATAGTACTTTGCAAGCTTTGTTCTCAACCTGAAATTTTAGAAATATGTATTTTCACGTGACAATACGACCTGTAGTCGTGTCATATACGATAGTTATGTAATCTCTTACATTTCTGAGCTGTCAAAAACAATAACACATAAAATATGGGAAAGCTCGCATTGTTCGTGTAAGCTTTTTCACTTAATGAAAAATAAAACTTTGGTTGTGATATATTTTTACTAATACTTCATATAAGTATCAAAAATTTGTTGTGTACTCATTTCTTTCAAATTAAACGATTTTTATTTTCAACACATCTAAATAGTTTTCAGGTTTAAATTTAATGTATGTACTTAGCAAACTTTTGATATGATTGTTATCATTATTGGCTTCATTGTGTGGTAGACCAGTAGAACAAATTTACTCCATAAAATTGATTGTGTTGCTGAAATTTAAAATTTGTCTTTTTTCTAAATTTAAATAGTTTTTAGGTGTAAAAATTCACCGGTATTAGTGGTTAATGTATTCTGGCTGCAATTTAACTACCAAATCCTTCTATTCTTGTATTTCAGCCTGTGTGAATATTAATTGGCATTTTGAAACGAACAGTACTAATTACAGTTACAGTAATAATACCATTGATTTCCAAAACAAACTATTTGTCTGGAGGCATTGTGTTTCAAACTATTCATCATTCGTTGAATCTAGCTATGCGATCATTTGCAACAAATGTCTGGATTCATTCAATGAATTATTCCAGTTTTATTGGGATGTTTACACCGCACCTCATGCTAAATTCTGTTTAGATGTCGAGACTACAGTTAGTGCAACATAATATCTCAGTTTCTTATCTGTTCTTCACCATTTCTTTCTTTCGCGATTCACTTGAGATACCTACAACTTATTGTCATATCAGAAAAGAATTAAGCAATGAAAGAACGAGTTAGAATTCCGCAACTTACGTAATTAAATGCTAGAAATTTCATATTCGATTATATTTGTAAGTATGATATGGGATTTGTGTATTTATTTATACACTGTTAAAAAACAAAATTTGGCAGAGGAATGGTCCGTGTGTAGTAAAATTTCAGATGAATGATACCATGAATTTATGGCATAATGTTTGGAGCTGTGGAGATGAAGGAAGCAAAGATTTGCAGGACTGGACAGTATTTGGATATAGCTTGACTTTATTAATAATCATAACTGTATTTTTCTATACTGGGAGTTATGTACAGAGTGAAGAAACGAAAAGACGTCTTATACATTGTTAGGTTTAATTAATCTTTAGTTAAAAAATATTTAAAGATTTAATTTCTGCGATTCATATTTTGCTCCTTTGAATACAATGTAAACATAATGATTGGACGTTATCCTAATAGAAATAATATGACCTAAGACTGTTATTCTCGTAATATTGTGTGCAAAGCGAGGATTACAGATTCAGAGTTGGAAGCACCTCGTGGTTTACGATCATATCTTTTGAGCTCATCAGTTTTGAATGCGATTTCATCAGCTCAGGCGCGTGCCTAGAAAATGCACATTTGGCAATATTTTATTATGACTTTTGATTAATATCAAGCTGTATAATGATTAGAAATATTCAGTAACTATTATCATGTTAAGTGATTTATTTAATTCATTCCAGCGTCATATTTCACAGTTTTCCTTCACTGAATAAAAATAGTCCCCGATAAATCTTGCTATCAGCTTTCTTTTTACTTCCTTCTGAGAGTAAAATTCCTTGTCGTCTTTGTCAGTGGTCGTTACTATTTTTCGAATGTTGTATGTTTTCTTTATTGCCATTTTTTAAATTTTCATCATCTTCATGCGAGAATATTTTCTAGCTGGCAGAAAAGTTATAAAAATTTATCTCTTAAGAGAACTGTCCATTCAGAATAAGTAAGAAGTAAATGAAACTTTACTCATTTCTTACTTGTTCTGAGCGTACTCTTTTTTTTGACAGTGTTGACTTTATTTGATTTTATCTTTAAATCATGCTATTTTGTTACAAACACTACTATTTTGTTAAAAGTATTAATAATTTAAGGTTTCTGTCAATTATAACTTCTTCAATATGTTGAGTACTAATACTTTCTGGTTAATAAGAACATTTAAGCGAAAATTGGTTAGGAAGTATGATTTTAAAGCATTCACTTCCTTGTAGATACTACTTTGGGCTTGGGTTGAAATTGCTTGACGGAGCTTATTATCGTATTCAGTTTTTAATTTTCAGTGGCTTTAATCTAGGACATTATTTTTTGAAAATGGTGGATATAGAAGGAGGTGTTTCACAACAATATAGAAGTGAAAACAAGACAGATCACGATCAAGTAAGTTGAGCTCCTACTACTTCCTGTTAGTAATGGTTTGTAATTAACATTTCTGAACACATACTACTGTTATGTTTTTATTTTCTATATACTTTAGGAGGGAACTCAACCACCTGCAGACGAGGATGTCACAGATCTGCTGATTCAGTATCGTGGAGAGTGTGTGACTCATACTGGTAAATGGAAAAAGCTATTAGATGAATGTACGGAACGTGTAAATGCTAAAGCCAAAACTAAGGAATCATGTCACTACGAGATGGTTGATTATATACAAGCTCTTGATCATTGTGTGAGCTTACTTTTAATTTGTTTGAATGGCTGAACCTATACTGCATTTTTAGTATTTAAACAGTCTTTATCGACGTTGATTATATAAATATTCATATGTGGACATGAATTTTATGTGAATCCTTAATGTCCTTGCTTAAAGTTTACAGTTTTTGCTGTTTTGTAACATGGGTCAGGTAATACTATTTTTTTGCAGGACTTTTCTGTTTCTAAACTTTTAAGCGTGACTGCTGTCATGAAGCTGGTTTCGCTCTGAACTGAAATGTAATTTATTTCCAGAATGACGTTTCAGGCTATGCCGAAAACGTTTGCAACATTGAAATAATCAACAGCTGCATTTCGAAAATATTTTTTGAATTTAATATTTTGTGATTTTGCAATTAGTTGCAAGAAATATCGTGAACTTGGAATTTTTCTTCATTTAATGTAGGTTTTAGAACTGGATGTATTAAAATTTGAGGTGCCTGATGGTTTTCGCATGGCAAAACAGATCAAGAAATAGAACATCGATTGAAGCTTAAATTGTTACAAGAATGTAAAGAACCACTTTCTGCAGACGCATGTTTTGAAATACAATCTTTATGAGTTATCCTAGATGCTTTTTTATGCTCTTGCAAAGGTAATCGTTTTCTGACACATTGGTGCTCAAGAATCTACTTTCTTTTTTGGGAAAATGTATTATTCCAGAATCAGATGATGTTGGCATTTTTTTAATTTCAAATCAGATGTAAACGAGATCTGACAACTTCGAATTTTAAAACTATTTGTTGTTTGTGTTACAACATCCATAGACGATGGCTCCAGTGCGTGAAAAGTGTAAAAAGTATGCAAAATTAGGAAGAGTCAAGAATTTCATCTTAAAGCTTATGATTGTCCTTAATTCTGCTGTTCCAATCCTAATCTGGTTGGTAGTGGTGAACTATTGATCAATTATAATAATGATGAGATAAGAAACGTTTATCGGTAATCAAGGTTGGGCCATTTGTTGTAGCAGTGTCATGAGTTGCAGTCACCACTTATTCATGTTATCAAGTGCGATGAAATTTATGATTTGTGAGTCATTTTATTATTCAATTAGAACAATGATTTTGGGGGGATGGTAAGTAAGGATTCATCGTTACCTCACTAGTATCGTTATTAAAAGATTCAAGTGTGTCTTTCAACAGATGTACTTGATAATATCCTTTATATATTCTAGAATCAAACTTTCACGAGTAAAGGAAGTGATGAAAGACATGGTAATAATAATAGTGGTATATTCTGCACTTTACAGTTTTGTGCTAAATTGATCTGTCGATACAAAATATATTGTAAATTACATTGAAATTTTTTTTCCTGATCTCGATGAATCATTTGCTAAGCAATTCAATAACTTAATAAATTTTTTGTAAGGATAATCAGTTTAAGAGAAATTGTTTAGAGAAGTAATGAGAGGATTAATATATTATTAAAAAAACTTTTGTGAATTGACTTGGTAAGAACAGTTTAAAGATAGTTGGAAAAAAACTGAATATGCTAAGGTAAGGGATGTAAATTGAAAACTACCAGCTTAAAATAGTAATCGTTACAACATAACGTGATGATCATTACCACTAAGATGGTATCCACATGACTGACCATATTATTGAATTACGATTAGTAATAATAGTCATCATGTAGACAATACAGTGATTATCGTTGTGTCATATCGAGTAAGTGTAGTACTGCTTCCTTATAATTATTAGGAATGTGCGTTATTATTACTGTCTCCGTTAGAATATCGGTGATTAAATAGTGGCCATATGAGTAGTATCTCTTTCATTGTGTACCTGAATAGAAAATGCATGAATAGTAAGTATATGAGTTGACAATTTTGAATCGTTTGTCCTCTAACAGAGACCAAATGACATCTGAAATAATTAGAAAATCCCATGCTTTTTACAATCTCGCAGTTTATTTTGTATTAAATTATTTTATCAGCTTTGTATCAGAGCCCCGCGTCATTTCTAATTCTATACAACAACATTTGCATCGCTGATAATGAGCCTTGAATTGCTGGCCTGCCTATAGTCATTGTAATTATGAAATCAATACTGGAAAGCGTGGGCTGGGGAGCGAGTTATTCAACAGACTTATTTCAATATGTAAAAAAAAGATAATTAGCTAGAGAAGGGTGAGCTGGTTTCTAATGACACGGGTAGTGATGAGCTTATATTTTCGCTATTTCAATAAGGACGGAAATAGTTCTCATACTGGCATTTTTACAGTGAGTTTCATTTTTAGCTGGAAATTCATAGAGAGTGAGAGAAGATTACTCATGAATGTTTGATTTTATTTTTTGCTGCGAAATTGAACAATAGATTTTTGTGAAAATACACAAGTGCAGTAACTTTATGTTTAGATTTTGGAACGTGAAGGCAGTTTCGTTCCGTGAAGGTTAATAGTTACTTTTCATTTATATTTTGCTCATTTATTATTCAATAAAATGTTTAATTTCCACGTTCTCTCAATCCTCAGTATTTTGTCTTTTTAATAGTAGTAAGAAATCTGGGCAGAGAAGCGAACAAATGAAGAATGGCTCAAGGAAAAATGCAAAGACTGATCAATATCAGCCAAAAAACGAGCAGAAATGGGATAGGCCATCATCAGCCAAGCATTAGCCATAGGCCTGTGCAAGCCAGGCCAGGCCAGTGCCTATGTCCAACTCATTTTTTTTGCTATTATGTATTTCATTTGCTTTTAATTCCATATTTTCCCCCTCTACTTTCAGATATCTATCGTTATTTTTAGTTCTACACCAAAATCATTCTCAAACACTACATCAGCATTTCATTTCCTTATTTGTTAAAGAAGGCATTATTTTATATCATTTTTCGCGTGTCAAACTTTATATCAATGAGGTTAATCCATTTGGAAGGCAACATAATTTATTTTCATTTTCCAAATTTACAGTTCTCAAATTTTACAGTGCAGAAGAAGTCTTTATTGTTTTTTTTAGCGATTTTTCTTTACTCATCTAAATTTGCTAGTTTTTCTCCCGCTCAAAATAATTACGTCATATTTTCATTCATTGTACTAAATTCTTCATCAAACGTGCGATTTCAAAATCATTAATATCAAGCCAAAATTTTTTTCTTCCTTTACAATTTTAATGCGATCATTATTTAAAAATCGATATACTGCACACTATTCCAATTTTAAATATTTGCTCAAAACAAAGTTCTGCATAGGTTCAAAAAAGTGAAAACGTAGGCAGTAATTCACGTAACTGCGTAATCAACAAGATAAACAATGGTTTCAAGAAGGAACGGTTTTGTGCTGTTTCCGACATTTTTCTTTGCAATAGTGACCTCCAAGCACCTATCTTTTCCTACCCATCAGCATCATTATGCTTACCATTATCCACAACTGCGTTCCCAACTACGACTGCAGTCGCAACCACAATCGTATCCGCACTTACGACTTCCTCATTCTGTCCCAAAAAATGAGGCCGCTTATTTTCACGTGACGGTGAAGGAAGACTCGGCTATCATGTCTGCGGTTCCGGGAATACATTTCTGGACAGTAACAGCAGCAAGTCAGCATGATTTGATTCGACGTAGCGTTCGCTCTGCGTCTTGGCATCATCAAAGTAAACGGCGACAAGCTTCACTCTCGACAAGTGTAAATGCTTCCACATCTTCGTCAGTTCCGAGACTTATGAAGAAGGCTGATACATCGCAGGTGAATAGAAGCTGAAATTAATCAGCAATAAGATTTATTTGCTATGCTCTAATGATAGATGTTAGTTAGTACGCTGGATATAAGAATGCATGTCTTGCATTAGCGCATCTTTCAATTCATTTATACCAATTTCAAGCTTCTATATTTAAGATTTTGCTTCATTGGCGGTTTTTCGCTGTCAAATAAGACTTCACAAATGGAATATTTCAACTTTAGCCATTATTACATTAGTGAGGGCATTTTGTAAACAAGAAATATTTTTATTAAATTAATTAATATTTAAAATTACTTCTTCCTGCAAATGCTGCTTTCCACCATCAATTTTTATTTTATATATTTCATTCTTCAACAAAAATCTGATATATCTGTGAAAGAACAAATGTATATAGCTATAGTGTATTAATTTTTAATTACTCATAATTTTTCCAAATTAGTAAAAGATTGAAAATGGCAGTAAAAATACCACTAATAATGATTAGAGTGATTGCTACTTCACAAACTCCTATACTTAAGATTGAAAAAGAATGGAAAACACTGAAGAAAAAAAGAAAGCGTTTAAGAGAGTTGCGACAGGAAGTTCGAAAACTCAGCAGTCATCTCAGAATTAAACACATATTCCTTAAAGGTGAGTAATATGCATTTTAATTTTGATCATAATTTGTTTCGTATTCAAAATTTACTTTTAAGTTCTTTCAAAGTGAACGGTAAAAATGTCTCGCCAGTAAATTATTGTACGTAAATGATTGTAAAAGAACTCATTGTAATAAAAATAATTATACAAAAAAATTTGTGAGAAAAAATTCAAGAATTCCCAAAAAATCTTAACGATTATGCATAAATTGTTCTTATCATATGTTTATCATGCAACAATTTTCATTAAATATTAATAAACTAGTGACAATGATAAATCAATAAAGTTTGATAGTCAATATCAGTATAATAAATTTTAGTAAGTAATAGAAGCATTTTTAACAAAAATGTCTTAATTTCGAACTCTGAAATAATTATAAATTTAAATGGTGAATAAATTAATTAATAGTTCAGATCACTATCAGCGCTTAATTGATCCCCGTTTGGAAAAAAAAGGACAAACTCATTTAACTTCAATGATTGATATAATCAACAACAATTTGTCACTTGACAATAAAAGCAACTTTTTCATAAAATTGAGCTACAGCATTTAAGCGATGCTAGACTCAATAGCTGCTAAAATCGTTGCACCGTCTTTAATATTTAAAAGTTGCGTAGGAGAAAAGTGTTTCGTGAATTAATTTGATATGTAGAACTTATACTTCTGTGAAATAAATTTGAACGTTAATCATACTATCAGATTCACAGAAAATGAAATTTCAGATGACGAGATAATTGGCGACAGATTAGGAAAGCATGTAGGTAAAGAAACGCACACACGTTGGCGTAAACAAATGACATATCGTGTAAAATCAATTATGAAACGTTTGAAACGACTGGAAAATAAAATGAAAACAGGACGAAGTATGACAAAAGTTTGTTAATTTTATAAACTCGTTTTGGTTGGGAAGAGAAATTTTAAATGAGATTGCAGTCTATTTTTCATATTTTTTCTATGAAATATTTTTTTTCTGTAGTAGGTCTAATGTAAAATGACTGCCAACTAAATTATATAATGGAAAGAAGTTGCTATTTCTATGCTTTCTTTGCTTCCTAATCAGGAATGGACCGTTTGAACAAGAAAGATACAGTCAAATTTTAAAACCTCTGCAATATTGTTTTCGTTTGTTAAAAAGAATTCACAAATTATCGCAAAATTAGTGAATTCATAGTAATTAAAAATTGCAAGTTTGCGAACAGCCAATATAATATTTCAGTTTTTGTCTTTCAAAAGTAAATGAAGAGACAGTGTGATTTTATGAGAAACAGTATCTATCAACTACTGTTTGGATTTGAACAGCAAGTTTTTAATGAAATTTAATTTAAAATCAAAAGTGTGTAGCCACAAATTTTAACGAATTTTATCGGTAAATGTTTTTATGCAGCTTTCCAATTTAATTATTTTATGAGAGAAAAAAATGGCAGAAGGATTCAGTGTTGTAAATGATTTTCTAGTTTCTGATTACTACAGATACACAACTGAAATGTATGTTATGAAAAAATCATTATGAACTTAAACTTAAGATGCATCCAGAAGTAAATGAGTTCCTAACTCTTTGATTTATTGATAAAGAAGTTGTTAATTATTCGACTAAGGAGTAAATAATGTATGTTATTGATTCTTGTAAAATCCGATACTCTGTACTGCCGTAATGATTTCGAAAGATGCAGCTGATATCATTTACTGGCCTAGTTATTTGCTGTAAAACGTAGATAAATGAATTAAATCAGTATTGGTGTTTTTAACTTGGAATTTTCTACAGATTAAGCGGCTACATTCATCAATCAGTCAATCGAAAAATGGTGAATCCGGTGGAATCTGCTTCAGTCATAAAGACTGCAAGCCAGGTTAGAATATAATAAATTCACAGTTATATTTAGAATTCGCTAAATTATTTAAAATTATTCGATTATGTATCCTTGCAAATCTTCTAAGGCGCAGAATGAATCATCAGATTAGGTCATATGAAATGATAAAATGATGATGGAGGCGCACGTAAATAATGAAAATTTAACTCTTTCATTTTCGATAATAATATGACATCAATACGACTTTTCTAGACAACTTTGGAACGTCGATTTATAAGTCTTTAATTTGAATTCAAAGTTGTTACTTTAGGTCTGTGTTGTCATATATCTTCATCTAACACAAACTCAACCTCAGTGCCTAAAATCAGCACATGTCATCAGTATATGCTAGTTCAAGGTGAATCATGTAAGGATTCCTGCCAATGCGAGGCTCGGCTTCACTGTTTTCGATCTGAAAATGACCAGAAAAGCGGAAAATCTGTCATTAAATCGAAAAATGACCCGGTGAAGTAATTTTTGCTAATTTAGAATAAGCAGTTAAATTGAAAGTCATCTATAAATTAAATATATATCATTAATATTTCCTTGACGTCTGTCGCAGTGGATATAAATTTTGAAGTGCGAATTTAGTATGATGAGAATAGCAAATGGTGTTTGTTCGGATAATTTATGATCAAATTAGAGATAAAAATGGGGCGCATAACTTTTCATATTAGTATTTTGGAGGCTGATCAAAATTTGCATAAATTCACTTTGTTCATATTCATGTTTCAAGAAAGTATGCTTATATAAATCAATTATTCATTTCAGTTAGTAATTTAATTTCTTATCATCATTGTTTCAATACAGCTCGCTATTTGCAAAAAGGTGTCTACCGAAGATATAATGAAAGGAAAATATTTGAACTCGAAAGATTCATTATTTCCAGTACAACCAGCGTAATGGTCATTTTTGGTATTCATATCCACACTAATCTCATTTCATTACTTATGAATAATTTTTACCGACAAACTATCCTTGTTCAACTTATTATCTATAGCATATTAATGTGTTATGCCACTACCACTCTGAACAACCAAATTTCGGAACATTGAAAATTTTTGATGAAAAATTAAAAAATCAGTTTTGGAGTAGGAAATTAAGCCTTTCCGTAACAAATGATTTTTATTCCCACTTTTGATCTACTGTTTTTGAATTATCCGAAAATTTTTTTAATTTGAAGGTCGAAGATATCTAATATTTATAACTAAAAATATATCAAAAGGTTTTGGTTAAAAAGAATTTGCTTGCAAGGCTTTGCACACATGGTCAAATAAAACTCTCCTATTGATCAGGTTTTTTATTTGGGAAGTATTCGCAATTCATTACAGTAGATACAGAAGATCAAGGTTATTTTTATCATGGAACATTTAAAATGAAAAATAAAGCAAAATTTATTTAATGTTTTTATTTAATTTTCAATGTGTGGTAATGCTTTTATAAAGTGTAATCAGTTCATCTAGATTTTTCTGAATCTCTTTTTTAAATCCTTTCAATTAATTGATAAATAGGATGCATCTTGATCTCATCAATGTATAAAGATTCATATTAATTTCACTGTCGTGTTGTGTTGTTTTGTTTGTTTGTTTGTTTATTTTTCTTCCATTTTAGAACATTGTAATTCGGCTTTCCTTCTTGATTAAGTAACAGAATTAATAATGATGTGTTTTAAACGCAATATCTGTGATATTATGGACAATAACTTATCAGTGATTTTTATAATTAGTTACAAGTGTTAAACATGTATTGCCTCAGTCAAAAAGTTTTTATGCCAAATTCTTTAAATGAACTTTTATTTGGTTTTTTGCATAACTCTGGACCATGTTTTGATACCAAATTTTTTAAATGGTATTTTACGTAACAGTGTTTATAACTCGCGTCCCAACAAGAGTATTTCTTGCTCTTTAACAACTGCAACCAAATTTCTTCAATTCATTAAGATAGATTTGGAATTTTCATGTCTCGTAGTTCAGTTAAAAATGCAAATGTTGAAAAACAACTAAGAATTATATTAACATGCAGTCTTGCAGTTAATTTCTGAATATTAAATTTAGAGCACAATATTGGATTTTCTTTCAATCGCAATTAGAGCGCTGATTTTCGTTGTTTCATCCTCATGGAATCCATAGCGGTGATCAAATGAGATGCTTTCGGGTGTCTTCTTGAACACTATTGATTGGATATATACCTCAACGTGATCAGATACGCTGATTTTTTTCTCGTAACGTTTATAGAAGTTCGTTACTATTCTATCGCAAATCATCACATATGGAATTATTTTCGTTCTGCATTTCATCTCTTTGAATTTATTATCCAGTAAATCATATTTCTGTCTTTTCTTGGTCTGGACTGCTGTCAACCTGTCCTGACTTTTATCAGCATTACTTCATCTCTTTTCTTATCCTGCACAACGATGTCCAGTCAATCCGCATATACACTAATTGCTGTTCTCACTCGCGTATCGAGAGATGAAATGGCCGAGTTCTCATTTGAGATGATCTCCTGAACGAAAGGGCTTCGCATGCATGGGAATATTTTCAAACCATACTTTTTGCAGAATACTAAATGGATACATCGCAAGACCTCATTGCTTCTTCTAGTATAGTCATGATATAGCATTTTCCCACACTGCGTTGTCAGATGGTTATATATTCCTTACAATGTTGGTGCGTCTCTCCAAATATATTTCTATCTCGGAAGTGACAGTATCGCGCTTCATCTTTCAGGGTAATGTTTCCATATCGTAGCCACACTGATGAATCTGCTATTGAAGACAGCTTATTCCTCCGCTTCTTGTATCTAAGCTTTGATAAGTTTTCTTTTCTATCTCACTTTCTGGACTGCTGACACTTTTTCGATGATTGAGTTTTTTACGGGAGTTATACCTAATCTTTAGATAGGGTCCAATAATTATCGATGCATTAGTCTTGTCTTCCCTTGCTCCAAGGTATTTATTTATACCATTAAATTCTTTCCAAGAGCCCACCTTATCAGCGCATACCTCGGTATTAGTGGCTAATTACGGTGGATTCACCTTTAATCTTATTAAATCAAGGAAGCTCAGAACTTCTTCAACTACACATTTCATGATAGATAGTTCGCTATCTGCATTCCTGGATCCCTTAACTTGGGTACCTCATATTGAGCCTGTGACTACCAGGTCCTTGCGCTAAATGAGAAGTAGCGGAGAAAAGCCATCATTCCTTGCTTTGCTATTTCCATCCATTGCTTTTCAGCACGAGTGTTCATTTGGAGGTGATACATCTCAGAAATCTTCAGATCCATGCTGGCATATTGAGTCTTTTAATGCACTTAATCGTGATTAAATGAATCGAAAACTTTTTTTACATCATATCGAATGCTTTTTTCGCGTTACATATTGTATAATTAGTTTCCATGCTCTCTGCATACCGCACCAAATTCTAAGGTTCAACAATGCCTGCTTTTTTGCACCTTGAATCTGGACATCAGTTTATAATTGGTTATCCTCAAGGTTATCCTTCGTGGCATCTTAATGCATGACTCGTGCCACACATTTCAATTATAGAGGTTCAAAGATTCAGGTTATTGGCGTAAAGTTGCTACCTTTACATTATGGCTAATAGGCTGTTCCTTGGTCAGTTTCTTATGAAACCGCTTGCTGTTCAGCTCAGTTTTGGCGTTTTGAATTTTTTATGCAGATCGGAACTGATAACTTCTATTTTACTTTTGTAAGCTCTGACATGCTCTGTCAGCGTGCTTAGAGCCTTATGACAGCCACATTTGAAAGCCCATGCGTTGCATTGGCCAAACACTGCTTTATGAGTTTTTGGAAGTTTTTCGCACTCACCTTCTTTTCTATGCTTGCCTTCCACATCAATGGCTTCATTTTCCGCCTTGTCATATTTTCATAGCATTGCTTCCTAAAGCTCTCTTCCATTATCAGTCACTGATTTCATGAGATTCTGTGAGGCACATTTACCGACCATTTAGATCACCGCTCCAAGTATAAGCAAGTTAACTTTCTCCGAGATTATTTTCCGCATCTACTATGTCTGATACATTTCTCACGTCCCTGTGCTTCTTGCGTCAGTACAAGGTACTTTTACTTTATGTCTAAATAAACCTTAGACTCTGCGGCGTATTTTCCTCGAAGTAAGTGTCAAGTACGATGACACGCTTCGTTGTTTCCTCTAAGAACCGTTTTCTTTGAGCACGGATGATCTGCAGTGCTAGTGATCGCAGCATTCGCTTGCTTCTTTAGTTCTTGACTGCTAATTACACATACAAATTTCTCACAATACAGAGAACGACAAAAATGGCATCCTCACCGGCATACTCTTGAAGCGATCAAGAGTTGCCTTCAGCATTTCGTCTGGCCAGATCGCGGAAACTCGGTTCCACGAATGAGTAAAAAAGCAATAAAATCCTGCTTTTTCATTCCTTTATAGTTTGTAAACTGTGTTCCAGTTCATTTAAGAGCACAAGCTGAGTTTGTAATAGAAAAGCAAGAAATGCGATCTAAAAAAAACTTTCATGCACATACAAAAAAAAATTTTCAGTGGAAAACAATAAGAATACCGTAGAGAATGAACATTTTGTTTCAACTCTACTGCTATTAGATTCCCATTTGATATATTTCATAGAGGATTGCAAATGATTCGATTCGCATTACCAAGATCCAATGCAACTTGTAGTCTTGTGCTGTCATCCCTTGACCTAGTTTTTGACCCGAAACCTCAAGTTTTCAATGTTAGAGCAAAGTTATGGAACAAACGGTTGCTTGAGCATACAGATAAGCATGCAGATACTGTTGGCCACCCAAGGTCAAATAAATATTTAAAATCAATTGTTGCCAAAAAAGTAAAACATTCAGGAAGAAACTTTTTTATTACCTTCATCATAGTGAAATTCAATTCATTTTCACCACCCTTTATGACAAAAAAGGGAACTTTTTTTCATTACATTATTATAGAGATAATATGAGTAGATGCTGTTGCTAGGCAGCAGTGATCGAGTATAAATATTTTTCATTGCTTAAATTGTAATCTTTTCATTCCACATATTAATGCTAAATTATGTTTTATATGAATAGTATTTAGATGATGACAGATTTTTTAGTGAAATATTTAACAAATATACTTAATTAAATTTGGTTTCCTTGATTCGTCAATTCACTGACTAGTTTTTGTTGGACTCTTAACCTTTAATTTTCTTTGAAAAAAAGTAAAACAGATGGCGTGAATGTAAATAAAAGAAGGACTAATTGAGATAAAATAAGAGGAAATTCTATTCTAAACTGTTTAAAGTATGGTGTTTTCAAATTTTTTTTAACTCATTGAATTTTGATTCAAGTCAAGCGTCTACTGTTTTATTTAAAAATTTAGGAATTGATCACAGTGAATTAAATATGAAACAAAACTTAGTTGTGGTTTGTGAAAATTAAAGTGAAATTACTGAAAAAGTTTTTAAAACATTTACAAAACATTAGAACA